TGGTGGCCACCGTTGGGATTGAAAAAACGAGCATCCTGGAACATTACGCTGTTCCTCGGGGTATACTTGATTTTTGACCCTGGGGGACCTTCTCGGCGGCCTCTTGGACCGTCTTGAAGGCCTCTTGGGCCTTGTTTGCTCCGTCTGGGGACCCATTGCGGCCGTCCCGGGTCCCCCTTGGCCCGTAATGGGGAGCTGAGCCCGTCTTGGGGCCATCTTGGGGCCCTCTCCGACCATGTAGGGATCCTCTGGGGGCCCCCTCGGGGGTCCCCGGGGACTGTGCTGCTTGAAACTCTCTTCAGGCCGTCTTGGGGCCCTCTTGGGGGCCTCTTGGACCGGCTGGGGCCCATTTTGGGAGCCTTTGGGGCCGTCGTGGCCGCTGTTAGGACTGGAAAAATGAATATCCCGGAAATCTACGCTATTCCGTCGGAAATACTTGATTTTTGCCCTTGGGGGGCCTTCCCGGCGGCTTCTTAGACCGTCTTGGGGGCCTTTGTGGCCGTCTCGGAGCAGTCTTGGGCTGTCTTCGAGCGCTCGTTGGCCGTCTGGAGGCCATTTCAGTGCGCTCTTCAGCCATTTTCCAGGCAACCCCGGGGCGCCTTGGGAGCCTCTTGGGCCAGCTGGGGGGCCTCTGTGGGGGTCCGGGGCCCCTTTTGGGCTCTCTTGGACCCCTCAAGACCACCCCCGACCGCCATGTAACCCAGTAGTCGCGGTTCTGGGCCCTCCCCCAGCCTACTCCGATATATGAATACATATATATATATATACATACATATATGTATGTATATATATATATATACCTACATACATACATACATACATACATACATACATATATACATACATACCTACCTACCTACCTACCTACATACATACGTACATACATACATACATACATACACATCTACATATACACATCCACATACATAAACATAGGCATTGACATGCACACAAACACAAACAGGGAAACATACACATACATACACATATACATATACATGTACCGATACATTGAAACGGCATTTACATATACATATGCATGTACATATACACATACAACTACACATACACAGGCACACTCACACATGCACATACATAAACAGAATCAGATGCATCTACAATTACGCACATGCATATACAAGTACATCTGCACATACGTATACCCATACACATACACATACGTATACACATACATAAACATATACATATGCATAGACATAAACATGCACGTAAACATGCACACAAGCATTTACAGCTCTGCACAGATATCTATACGCATACCCCTGATACGTCTAGATATATATATATATATATATATACACGCATATGCATACGCATGCGCATGTACATATGCAAATGCACATACATAACCATATACACATATAGGCTCACATGCGTATACCTACACATAGACAGCATCATCAGCATACGCACGTGCATAATGTATACACCCAAACACAAATGCAATGCATTCACAGTTATGCATAGATACGTAGATACGTATACATATACATACGCATATCCATATACATACGCTTATACATGTGCAACTACATATACATTTACACATGCATATACCTATACATATGATAAATGCACATGTACATGTACATATACATGTAAACATGTACGTGTGCGCATACAGATACACATATATAAACATACATATACACATGAATGTACATATACATATAGATGCGAATATACATACAACTAGATATGTATAAGTGTACATATGTGTTATGTGGATGTACAGATGTATTGGGGGAAGGCACAGGGGAAGAGCGAGAGACACAGCAACAAATGCGACCCACAGGCAGAGAGACCATCCTATCGACACATGGTAACAGCAGTAGCTATGACATAAGCGGTATCGGACGACAGATAGTGCGGATCGAAAAAAGCGGAGCTCGAACTCTATATGTTGATACGTCAACGTCCAACCAGACGCCAACTGCAAACCCAAAGCTGCAGTCATCCTCTCAGCCTCTCAATCACCCGAAGGGTGGCCCTACAGGCAGTACTCGTATCGACCCTTTCGTGGAGGGAAGGGAGGAGGGCAGGGCGTGGGAGGACAGGAGGGAGGAGGAGGAGGAGGAGGAAAGGCCTCTCCTAACCTCTCCCCCTCCGCCCCCCATCCTCCTCCTCCCTCCACCTCCTCCTCGACCTCATCCGCCCTCCTTCCCCTCAGCCTCCAGCATACCGTCTGCTCCATGCTCCCTCCTCCCACCCTCTTGTCGCCTCCCGCCACCCGCCGCCTCCTCATCCTCCGAAATCCTCCCGCCTTCTCCTCCTCCGCCTCCTCCTAATGATCCTCATCCTCCACCACCTCCTCCTCCTTTTCCTACTCCTCCTCATCCTCCTCCTCCTCTTCCTCCTCCTCATTCCTCCCTCTTCCCTCCTCCCTCCTGCGTCCTCCCCGCTCCCTCATCCTCCTCCCTCATCCCTCCCTCTTCCAATATGTTTCCTCCCTTGTCACGGCCTACCTACCTCCCTCGTCCGCCATCCACCGTCATCGCCACCCTCCTCCACCTCCTCCTCCTCCTCAACCACCTCCTCATCCTTCTCGTCCTCCTCATCCTCCTCCTATTCGACCTCATCATCGCCACCACCAGCACCATCATCCTCATCCTCATCCTCGTCCTCATCATCATCCGCATCCTCATCATCCGCGGCATCATCATCACCACCACCACAGCCAGCAACAAACATCAGCAGCATCATCATCATCAGCATCATCCGCATCCTCATCATCATCATCATCATCAGCATCATCATCATCATCAGCAGCATCATCATCATCATCATCATCATCATCATCATCATCATCATCATCATCATCATCATCATCATCATCATCATCATCATCATCATCATCATCGTCGTCGTCATCATCATCATCATCATCATCATCATCAGGAGCAACATCATCATCATCATCAGCATCATCATCATCATCATCAGCATCATCATCATCATCACTATCACCAGCATCAGCGTCGACATCAACATCAGCAACATCAGCATCATCATCAGCATCATCATCATCATCAACGTCATCAACATCATCAGCATCATCATCAGCATCATCAACATCACCACCATCAGTATCATCATCACCCTCATCAGCAGCATAATCATCAGCGTCCACAACATCATCAACAACACCATCGTGCCCATCAGCACCGTCATCGTGATTAGCATCGCCATCATCAGAATCATCATCACCATCAGCAACATCATCATCAGCATCAGCATCATCAAAACCAGCATCGACAGCATCGTCATCATCAGAATCAGCATCAGCATCGTCAACATCTGAATCATCATCACCATCAACATACTCATCGTATCGCCATCATCGGCAAACACATCAGCATCGTCGTCAGCAGCATCATCGTCAGCAACATCATCAGCATCATCATCAGAATCCGCATCGTCATCATCATCACCATAATCGTCATCAGAATCAGCATCATCATCGGCAGCATCATCGTCACCATCAGCATCACCATCAACAACATCGTCATCATCAGCATCAGCATCATCAGAATCATCAGCATCGGCGTCGTACGCGTCACCAGTATCATCATCATCATCATCATCATCATCATCATCATCATCATCATCAACAACAGCAGCAGCAGCAACATGCTCATCATCATCATCGTCAACATCACCATCAGTATCAGCATCAGCATTACCGTCATAATCATCAACAACATCAACATCATCAACAATAACAACATCGTCACCATCATCAGAATCGTCATAATGACCGTCAACCTCATCGTCATCATCAGCAGCATCATCATCGTCATCAGCATCGTCTTCATCCTCCGTGTGATCGTCATCATTATCGTCAGAAGCATCATCGGCATCAGCGTCAGCATCATCATCACCATCGTCATCATACTCAGTATCGTCATCGGCATCGCCGTCGTCGGCGGTGGTCACCATCGACATCATCATCATCAGTAGCATCATCGTCAGAATCAGCATGAGCAACAGCATCGCAATTATCAGCATCGGCATCATCATCAGCATCACATCAGCATCATAATGAGCGTCATCACTATCATCAGCGGCATCAGCATCACCATGATCATCATCATCATCATCATCATCATCATCAGCAGCATCAGTACCATCATCATCACCAACATCAGCAGCATCCTCGGCGTTGTCATCTGCATCAGCAGCAACATCGTCATTATCATCATCATAACTGTCGACGTTAGAAGCGGTGACATCATCGTCATCAGCATCAGCATCATCAGCATCAGCAGCAGCATCGTCGTCGTCTTCATCAGCATCAGCAGAATCATCATCAGTGTCATCATCATCATAACTATCGACACTACCAGCAGCGTCATCCTCGTCATGAGCATCCTCATCATCGTCACCATCATCGTCGTCATCATCATCAGCATCATCGTCAGCATCATCAGCAGCATCAGCATCGTCGTCGTCCGTGTCGGCATCATCGTCACTATCATCATAAACATCATCATCAACAGCATCATCATCGTCATAGTCGTCACCGTTATCGTTACTCAAATCAGTTCCATCATCCTCATCACCATCACCATAACCATCATCATCATCATGATCATCATCAGTATCATCGTCATGACCCTTTATCATTATCATGATCACCCGCATCATCATCGTCATCAACATGATCGTCACCAGCCTCACCATCCTCAGCATGGTCGTCCTAGCAATCCGCGTCAACATCGTCAGCATCATCCTCACCACCACCACCACCACCACCACCACCACCATCGCCATCGCCATCACCATTAGCAGCACCACAACCATCAGCTCTACAGCCACCATCACCATCGCCGCAAGCATCACCATCACGACCATCATCAACATCAACGACGTACTATCAACATCAACATCAACAACACCAACATAACATCAGCATCAACAACACCAACATAGTACCAACATCAGCATCAGCATTATCATCATCGTCTTGGACCGCGCGCCTGCTCCATCACCGTCCTCACGTCCTCGAGCACCTCCCTGCTGAGCGGCAGGTCCACGATTGGCACCTCCCGGGTATGGACAGACCTCCCTTTCACGACCTGAGGCCCAAACCTGGCGGGCGCAAGCCTGGAAAATAACGGCCGCGGCGCCCTCTCGAGAACCGAAAACGGACAATTCACTAATCAACGTGTCACTGTTGGGGGTTCTGTCCACCCCCGAACCTCCCCGGCCGCCGCGGACGAGCCGCCGCCCGATCCCCTGCAGGCGCCCTCACGAGGAGCGAGGATGCGGGAGAGGGAGAGGAGGGGGGAGGAGGAGGAGGAGGAGGAGGAGGAGGAGGAGGAGGAGGAGGAGGAGGAGGAGGAGGAGGAGGAGGAGGGAGGAGGAGAGGAGGAGGAGGGAGGAGGGAGGAGGGAGGAGGAGGAGGAAGGAGGGGGAGGAGGAGGGACAGTGCAAACCGAAGACGCAGGTCCATCCTCATAGGTCCCCAGAAGGACCCTTTCAGCCGACCCGCTGGGAAGGTAGCCTGCCTTTCCTCGTGGTTTGGCGGCCGTAGCCCCACCCTCCGTTCGCCCAACGGGGGGGATGGTGGGCAACCAGGCCGCGCACCCCGCACGTCATCTACTGGACCTGACGGCCTCGCGTGCGACCCTGCCCCTACAGGGTTGGGAGCCCCCAACCTGCCCAGCCCACGCAGAAAGCCAGCTTTCCGCTTGGTTGGCCAGGCCCGCGCATACCAGTCTGACACCGTGTGCGGCCCACATCATGCGCCGGGGGGCGCGCCTTGAGGCCTACTGGAGGTCCACCGAACCACCTGAGTCGTGTCTCCCAAGGCTGCGGGGCCAAAATGGCGACGCCCAACGCAGCCCCCCCGCTTCCACGTAACCTACCGTCTAAGTAACCTGCCGTCTTGGCCTAAGCGGGATGACACGAGAGAGAGGGAGAAGCAAATGAAGGTCAAAGCAGCTTGTGCAATCACATGTTCGCAAGCTAGTCGTCGTCGTCGCAGTCGTCGTCTTCACGGTCGTCGACGTCGTCGTGGTCGTCGTCGCACTCGTCGACGTCGTGGTTGTCGTCGACGTCGTCATCGACGTCGTCCCCGCAGCCGCCGCTCGGCCTCGTCGTAGTCGCGCTTTCGCTTCAGGGCGGTTGCCAGAGCCTGCGGCGATGGGGGAGTCGGCGAGTGCGCACGGTCACCGCCACGCGCATCGATGATGTCCACCTCTTGCACCTCTTTGTCCTCCTCCTCATCTTCATCTTCCTCCGTCTTGTCCTCCCGCCTCCCTCCTCCCTCCTCTTCCTCCTCCTCCCTCTGTAACCGCCACCTCCCCTATTCTCTCAGATCCCCCTGAGAGGGAAAGAGGGAGGGGGGAGAGGAGGACATGCTGTCATCCTCCTCATCCTCCTCCTCCTCCGCCTCCGCTTCCTTCTCCTCCTGCCAACCCTCCTCCCCCTCCTCCTCACCAGCAGCATCATCACCATGGCCATTATCGACATCAACCTCATCAACACCACCACCAACATTGACATCATCATCATCATCATCATCATCATCATCATCATCATCATCATCATCATCCTCATCATCCTCATCAGCATCAGCATCAGCATCAGCATCTGCATAATCATCATCATCATCATCATCATCATCATCATCATCATCATCACAACCATCATCATCATCAGCATCATCATCATCAGTATCAGCGTCATCAACCTCATTATCCTCATCATCATCCTCATCCTCATCCTCATCATCATCATCATCAGCAGCAGCAGCATCAGCATCCACATCATCAGCAGCAGCATCATCAGCATCAGCATCAGCATCAGTATCATCATCATCAGCATCAGCATCAGCAACAGCAGCAGCAACATTAGTATCATCACCATTGGAACCAGCAGCAGCTGCAACAGCATCCGCCAGATAATCATGAGAATTCAAATAATCAGCATCAGCATCAGCATCAGCATCATCATCATCATCATTACCATTACCATCATCATCATGAGCGGCATCATCCTCACCATCAGCATCAACATCATCAGCATCGCCATCATCATCACCAGCATAATCATCATCAGCAGCATCGTCACCAGCAATAGCAGTATCATCAGCATCATCATCGCCAGTATCATCATCGCTCTGCGCATCATCAACATCAACAACATCAACATCGGTATCAGCATCACCAACAGTACCCTCATCATTGCCATCCACATGCTCATCATCATCATCATCCTCATCATCGGCATCGTCATCATCGCCATCGGCATCGGTATCGTCATCGTCAACCTTCCATCAGCACGAGCCCAAAGACATTATCATCGTCACCAGCGTCGTCAACCTCGTCATCATCTTCAGCATCGTCGTCGTCGTCGTCAATAACATCCTCAACAACAGCAACAACAAAGCAAAAACATCAACAACATCATCATCATCATCAGCAACAGCATCATCTTCATCGTCATCTGCATCATCAGCATCACCATCATCGTCGTCATCATCAACAGCATCATAAGCATCAACATCATCATCAAATCAGAATCATTATCAGCAGCATCAGCGTCCTCATCATCGTCAGCATCAGCATCATCATCGTCATCTTCATCATCGTAATCAGCAGCAACATCATCAGAAGTGCATTCGTATTATTATTGTTCGCCGTAGTCCCCATCGTCTTCATCGTCATCATCATCAGCGTCTTCATCATCAGCAACAGCATCATCTTCATCGTCATCTGCATCATCAGCATCACCATCATCGTCGTCATCATCAACAGCATCATAAGCATCAACATCATCATCAAATCAGAACCATTATCAGCAGCATCAGCGTCCTCATCATCGTCAGCATCAGCATCATCATCGTCATCTTCATCATCGTCATCAGGTGCAACATCATCAGAAGTGCATTCGTATTATTATTGTTCGCCGTAGTCCCCATCGTCTTCATCGTCCTCATCATCAGCGTCTGCATCATCAGCAGAATCATCAGCATTATCATCATCAGCATCATCGTAAGCATCATCATCAGCAACAGCATCATCCTCAGCATCATCATCAGCAGCGTCATCATCATCGTCATCGCCATCATCATCGTCAGTATCGCCATCGTCAGCATCAGCCTCACCACCACCATCAGCTTCGTCATCACCGTCGCCATCGTCACCGGCATCATCACCAGCACCTTCATAATCATCATCGTCATGATCAACATCATCATCAGCAGCAGCATCATCACCATCTCTCCCGCTCCTCGTCGTCCTCCTCCCTCATTGGCCCTTCCTCTTGCCTCATGCGTCCGCCCTGCTCCCTCCCCTTCCTGCGAATGTCCGGACTCCTCCCCTCGTCGCCTTGACTCCACCAAGTCTGTCTTACTTCCTACAGTCGGGGCGTTGACCTAAGGAACCCTAAATAAGGAACGAGGCCCCTTTTTTCCATAAGTTAAACTTCGATTTCCGGTCGAAAAAACAAGGAAAACCTGAGGCAAGCTGTGAAATAGTTAAGGAACGCGGAGCCCCTCCCCAACCAAAAGGGTTCCTTCTTCAGGGCCCCGACTGTACTGCCTCCCTCTTCCCGCGTGCCTCCCTCCTCACTCGGGCATTGTCTTGCCGCATCTAGAAACGTCCAAGCCGTTGGGCGCAAGCAGTCATGCTACGACGTAAGGAACGACAAAGACAACGTGGCCTGCACACCCATGCCCCAACGACACAAAGGCACACGAACCGCATCCTTTCCCCTGCAATCTTGCACCACTGATTCGAACAGAAAGGGAACAGCCATGGTAGAAACAGAAGAAGAAGCTACGAGAGGGGCGGCACGTTGTTTGAAGTCTCCGAGCGGACATTTCCTAGCGAGCCTGGGGCCTACTACGGCCCTCATAAGCCGCTCGCGAGCTAAGGATGCAGGGAGCACAAAGAGGATGGGCCCAGGGATAAGGACATACGATAGAGAACGACCAATTGGATGGCCTGTCGAGCAGACACCCCCCATCCGAACCATCTTACACACGAGGATCGCACTACGACCTCGCCGAACGAGCACGAGAGCAAACAGTCGCGGAACGAGAGAATCGCCACAACGCGACTGCAACGGAACGTGCGAGGCGAGAGCGTTCTCTACATGAACGGCAGATGATGGGCACACCGGAGACGAAACAACCTACACACCGTAAAAGGCCATCGAAGCCCCCCCCCCCTCCTACACGACCCTCCCTCCCTCCCTCCCCCCCATCCTCCCCTCCCTCCCTCCCTCCCTCCCTCGCTCCCTGCCCCTCCCTCCCTCCCTCCCTCCCTCCCTTCTCCCATCGCCATCTGAGCGGCAAGTTTTGAAGGGGGGAGGGGAACTCGGGGGCTCGGAGGAGAGAAGTCGGCTGAAAACGTGCAGCAAGGCGAGAGCAACCACACTCAGAGCGCTCTGGAGAGCAAAGCGAGAGGAGGGGAGGGCGGGAAGCGGTGCAGAGGACAGGCGAGGGGCTGAGGCACGTGGCCTGCCCCCTCTGCCTCGGGCTGGTAAAGAGGCACCAGCACGAAGAATCACGGGCTGAGTGCCGCAAATTCGCTCCACATTGCGCACCCCCCGAAGGCGCCATCAGAGCAGGCCCGGGATGGCTCACAGCCAAGAGGATGAGCGGACGGGGACTGCAGGGACTGCAGAAGTGGCAAAAGCAGCCCGCCTCAGCCAAATCACCAAGGGCTGTTCAAATCTGGCAACTGGCATCCCTCCTCCTCCTCCTCCACCCTGGACCCAGGATCCGTGCACACGCCCTCAGGGCCTGGCCAGCAAGGCATTATGCACCGATCCAGGGCCCACGAACGACCTGGCAGGGAGCGGTAAGGTGGTCAGCCGACCCGGACATCCGAAAGTGGGTGATGCGTGTTCGCGAGGGGCCCGGGGCAGATTTGCGGCCCAGATCCATGTTTGGATCGACCCCGGGCCAGACAAGGGGCCGCGGAGGCCGAGCGCTGGGATGGAACAGAAACCAGATAGATCTACGCATCCGACGTCCCCCGCGCCTCGCCCTGCTCACGGGCGGCGCCTGCGCGAGCACGAGGGAGGCAGGGAGAGGGACGAGGGTGAGAGGCGGCGCGTCGCGGAGGCGGCGGCGAGACCGGCAAGGCCGCGCGCGGTCGCCGATTGCGCCGGCTGGCCCGTCTGCTGCCGGACGCCGAGGCGCGCGTGTTGGCCATTGCTGCTGTGCGTCCTTGTCTGTCTCTGCTTGGTTATGTTGAGCATGTCTCCGCCCTCACGGCGTGTATGGGGGAACACAAGAGGGTATCAACATAAGAACTCGGAGGCCCGCGCGGATTTCTCGGATCGGCGCTGGGGCCCCCCGGCGGCGCCTCCGGCGCCGCCCCTGGCGCGCTCAGCGCGCCAGGGGGGGGGGTCCAGCGCCGATCCGAGAAATCCGCGCGGACCTCCGAGTTTTTATGTTTATGCCACTGTCTAGAGGAGGAGGAGGAGGAGGAGGAGGAGGAGGAGGACCAACCAGAGAATAGGCCCAAGACCCGTCAACGACACGTCTCAGAGACACTTTTTGTTCCCCTGCGAGCGGTCGCCGCCCCCTTCAGAGAGAAGTGAGGCATCCCTGTGAACCGACCCTGGCCTGGCCCCATCCTGGGCCCAGGGAGGGTGCACACGTCCCCCTGGCCAGGGAGGCCTCCTCCTCCTCCTCCTCCTCCTCCTCCTCCCCCTCCCCCTCCTCCTCCTCCTCCTCCTCCTCCTCCTCCCCCTCCTCTCCTCCCCTCCTCCTCCCTCCTCCCCCTCCCCCTCCTCCTCCTCCTCCTCCTCCTCCTCCTCCCTCCTCCTCCTCCTCCTCCTCCTCCTCCTCCTCCTCCTCCTCCTCCTCCTCCTCCTCCTCCTCCTCCTCCTCCTCCTCCTCCTCCTCCTCCTCCCCCTCCCCCTCCCCATCTCCCCCTCCCTGCTGGGAGGCCGCACCTCTGGGCTCCTTCGCGACGCCGGACGTGTGGCGGAAGCCTCTCTGCACTGCCGAGCGCCCGCGCCCGGCGTTCGCGGGAGCGGCGGGGCGCTACACCGGGCCGCGCAAGGGGGCTCCCCACGGCCGAGACCTCCGAGGCCGTGGTCTGTGCTCGGGGGCGGTCAACGAGGGGGGGGGTCCAAGAGGGGGGGGGGCGCAGGTCATAGCCGGCGGCACGC